AACATGTAGTCCAACATGTAGTCCAACATTTAGTCCAACATTTAGTCCAACATGTAGTCCAACATGTAGTCCAACATGTAGTCCAACATCTAGTCCAACATCTAGTCCAACGTGTAGTCCAACATGTAGTCCAACATTTAGTTCAACGTGTAGTCCAACATGCAGTCCAACATGCAGTTCAACATGCAGCCGAACATGCAGCCGAACATGCAGCCGAACATTTAGTCCAACATTTAGTCCAACATTTAGTCCAATATTTAGTCCAACATTTAGCCCATCATTTAGTCCATCATTTAGTCCAACATGTAGTTCAACATGCAGCCGAACATGTAGTTCAACATGCAGCCGAACATGTAGTCCAACATGCAGCCGAACATGTAGTCCAACATTTAGTCTAACACTTATTCCAACATTTAGTCCAACATTTAGTCCAACATTTATTCCAACATTTATTCCAACATTTAGTCCAACATGTAGTTCAACATGTAGTTCAACATGTAGTTCAACATGCAGTCCAACATGCAGTCCATCGTTAGGCTGATTGGTAACTCTAAATTGTCCCTATGTGAGTAAGATTGTAAATGGTTGTTTTTCTCATTTGTCTCTGTGTGTACCTGTGATGGACTGGCGACTTGTCCACGATTTACCCCACCGCTAGCACAGTGACTGCTGGATATGGGTACCAGTGACCCTTGCAACCCAAAAAGGAAAGAGTTGGTAAAGATGATGGATGGATGGATGTAGCCCAATATTAGCCCAACATGTAGTCCAACATGTAGCCCTAAATTTATCCCAAGAAGAAGTCCAACAAGTAGTTGGAATATTGTCCTTGCACAGTGAAGTACAATGAAATGGAAGACCAGCAGAACTCCGATGCAGACGCCAGTCTTCCTTTGAGCAGCTCCTCCTCGGCGCTTCCCAGCATGAGAGGCTTCCTCTAGGTGAGCAGTGGTCAGACTGACCGTAGAGGCTGGATCTGTCCTTGGCTCGGTTCTGTTCTGGTTTGGTTCCGTCAGGCTCCTCCGCAGCAAACAGTGAACCTCACGGATGTGGCCGGACCTTTGATGAGAAGTATCGGGCTGCCTGCTGATATTGAAACCGGCTCAGTTCTGGTCCTGTTAGGGTCAACTTCCCCCACAGCCAATAGCAGACACCCACGAGGAGCTGGTCCAACAGAAAGCCAGCACAATACCCAAAGCGATCCCGATCAGAACCATAGAGGTCCGGATGAAAAGTACGGATGGAGTCCAGAGAAGAAGGAAAAAAAACGTTGGACCTTTGGACAATGTCTCCCCTGCTCGAGGGGCCACCTGGCCAGCCAGCTGCGCTGGGATTGACCGACGGGTTGGAAGCGGACGGTCCTGGACTGAAAAAAAATTCCGGAAGGTTCCCGTTCAGCTCTCAGAGTCCAATGAACACTGAATTCGGTTGGAAGAGGGACAAAACTTTTAGTCCGATTAAAAAAAAATAGGTCAATTTGATGTTGTAAGACTGCCGAGAAGCCGGGGGAGCTGCCGCCCTTCAACTTGCTTAAAGTGAAGTGTGATGGATGGACATAGCCCAATATTAGCCCAACATGTAGTCTGACATGTAGTCCAACGTGCAGCCAAATTCATTTCAATTCAGTTTAATTTATTTATGCAGCGCCAAGTCACAACAGAAGTCGTCTCAGGGCCTGAACAGAAACATTCATGTATAAAATAATAATTTAACAGAAACATTCATGTATAAAATAATAATTGAACATTATTGATCTGAGGAGCAGCTTTGAGTTTAACTCCATCACTGAACTCTCATCTTGAACAAGCATGAAGGCGACAGTGGAAAGAAAAACTCCCTCATGAGGAAGAAACCTTTAGCAGAACCAGGATCAGGACTAGAGGACCATCTGCTTCGACCGGCTGGGTTTGGTAGGAATAGATACACAATGGCAGGTCAAGAATCACGTTAAGATAGAAATAGTATCAAATGAAAACTATTCAGTTTTAACAATTCATTTAAGGAAATGAGGTCAGTTTGTCCTCTAGTAGTCTAAGTCTATAGCAGCATAACAAGCCAACCCTAACTATAGGATTTATCAAAAAGGAAAGTCTTAAACTGGACAATGTGTCAGTCTCATGGACAGAAACTGGAAGTTGATTCCACAAGAGAGGAGCCTGAGAACTGAAAGATCTTCCTCCCATTCTGCTGCTGGAAACTGTAGGAACCACGAGTAAACCTGCAGTCTGAGAGTGAAGTGCTCTGTTAGGAAAATATGGAACAATAAGATCTGTAATATAAGATGGAGCTAGGTTGTTGAGAGCTTTGTAGGTTAGAAGTAAGATTTTGAATTCTATTCTGGATTTGACAGGGAGCCAATGGAGAGAAGCTAAAACTGGAGAGATATGATCTCTCCCAGTAACTCCAGTTAAGACTCTGGCAGCAGCATGTTGCATCAACTGAAGACGTTTTAAAGAAGTATTTGGACACCCAGATAATAAACCATTGCAATAGTCCAGTCTAGATGTGAGAAATGCATGGACCAGTTTTTCTGCATCATCTTTAGATCAGATGTTTCTAATGTTAGTGATATTACGCAGGTGGAAGAAGGAGGTTCTAGTAACGTTTTTAATGTGGGGGATAAAAGACATGTCCTGATCAAAAATAACACCAAGATTTTTAACATTAGAGCTGGAGGACAGATTAATGCATCTAAGGAGGGAGAAAGACTGAAACATTCATTCCTAACGTGCTCAGGTCCAAAAACCAAAACCTCAGTCTTGTCTGTGTTCAAATGGTAGTCCAACATATAGTCTAATTTAATTTGTAGTTTAAACCTGTAAAGAGATTTTCTGGTGTGTGTTAATTGTGTTCTTGCTGAGTAAACTCTGACATAAATCTGTGTGAAACAACTGTGTACCTTTTACTTGTGTGTGATGTCAGCTGCTTGGTGGAGCCAGTGGAGAGCAGAGAGAGAACCTTGGCATTACAACACCTGACTACTACTTTTACCTGAACCAATCAGGAACCTACACTGTGGAGGATGTGAACGACAAGAAGGATTTTTCAGATACTATGGTGCTTTCCTTTCCTTACCTATCTGTTTTGCTGTCTGACTTGTCAATAACGTTGAATAATTTTGAATTCGTACACAAACGAAAGAGCCAAAGACTGACAGTTGTTTGAGGTGGTTGGACAGTGACATGGTGACCTCTCTTGAGGGAAACTGACATTGGTTTTTTTTCAAAGCTTTAGTTTGTATTGAGACCTTTATATTACTGCTGTCCTGTTACCTGCACCTGTCTGTCCACACAACATCATCTACCTTCACCTATGTGTAACAGCCTGTGTGTCTTTCAGGGGGCAATGTCAGTTGTAGGTCTGTCTTTGGACAATCAGGACTCGGTTCTTCAGCTTGTCACAGGAATTCTTCACCTTGGAAACATCAGCTTCAGAGAAGAAAACAACTATGCTGTTGTGGAGAGTCAGGATTGTAAGACCCAACAGGCTGCAGGTCCAGGTCCAGGTCCAGGATCAGGCCTATTGCTGCCATGTTTAACATATGTATGATGGTTGTAAAGCTGTGTATTCTTTGACCCATTAAAGCTGTGTATCTCCATCAGTCCTGGCCTTCCCGTCCTACTTGCTGGGGATCTCTCAGGACAGCCTCTGCAGTAAACTCACCAGCCGAATCATGGACAGTAAGTGGGGTGGGAAGACTGAGTCCATCTCCGTCACCCTGAACACGGAACAGGCCACCTTCTCCAGAGATGCCCTGTCCAAAGCTCTGTATGCACGTCTCTTCGACTTCCTGGTCGACGTCAGTCCCTGCAGCCGTCTTCACGCTCTGCTTTGTGTCCAACTCTGGCCTTCAAGCTGATGTGGTGTCTCCTGTGTCTCTGTCTCAGTGTATTAATAAGGCCATGCAGAAGGAGCAGGAGGAGCTCAACATTGGCGTTTTGGACATCTACGGCTTTGAGATCTTCCAGGTACTGTTTCTTTGTTGAAACCAAAGTTTCAGAACTTGTTGAAGCTGCTCTAACAACCTCAGGCTTCGTGTTCTGAAGCCTGACAAGAACGCTGTGACGAATCGGATTCATAATTTGAAAAGTGTCTTTTTTATTATTCTTGTTATTGAATTTTCTAACTTGAACATAAACAATAAACTAAAGAAAGACAAAATTAGATAAAAAGTGGATAAAATGAATCATACTAAAAGACAATAAACAAGGTCATGTGCCCAGAGCTCCCTTTGGGGCTTTATGGAACTTTATGTTTCAACATCGATACTCTGCCCTCTGCAGGTGGAATCAGGTACTGCATATTACCTGGACTTTCATCAGTTTTATTTATTTATTTATTGGAGAACTATCATAAAACACAATTGATTAGATTTTCTTATTTTGTTTTGTTTTTAAGCAAAACGGCTTTGAGCAGTTCTGCATCAACTTTGTGAACGAGAAACTGCAACAGATTTTCATTGAACTCACTCTGAAGGCTGAGCAGGTCAGTTAGAATCAATTTTATTCACTTGAAGGACCTGGGTCAGACCTGGATCTAGTCTCAGGTCCAGCTCAGATCCTGGTTTCATGTCATTTTGTTGGATAAATGAAGTTTTTAGAGTTTGAAAGGACTTTTGTCAACAAATACAATTTTAATAAGTTTTTGTTTTGGTTTATGTCTACTGTTTGTTTGTTTGTTTGTTTGTTTGTTTGTTGTATGATGTTGTGTATCTGCAGGAAGAATATGTTCAGGAAGGAATAAAATGGACTCCAATTGAGTATTTCAACAACAAGGTGGTCTGTGACCTCATCGAGTCCAAACTGGTGAGTTGACCAATCACAGAGCACCACTCAAGAGCTGATCGATCTGATTGATTATGTAGGGTGGGGCAGTAAACAAAGTGGCTTTATATTTAGAGGAAACAGACAGGTGAGTGAGGGGATACCTGTCTGATCCCCAGAATCCTCCTGGGATCATGAGCATCCTAGATGACGTATGCGCTACGATGCACGCCAAAGGTGAGGGGGCGGACCAGACGCTGCTGCAGAAGCTGCAGGGACAGATTGGAACCCACGAGCACTTCAGCAGCTGGAACAGAGGCTTCATTGTCCACCACTACGCCGGCAAGGTTCTGACTACACCTGTCTACCTGTCCACCTGTTTATCTATCGAACTGTTTACCTGTCCACCTGTCTACCTGTCCACCTGTTCACATGTCTACCTGTTTACCTGTCCACGTGTCTACCTGAACACCCTGTGTGTCTCCAGGTGTCGTACGATGTGGGCGGGTTCTGTGAGAGGAACAGAGACGTCTTGTTTACCGACATCATTGAGCTCATGCAGAGCAGTGAGTTGTGAGTATTCAGAAGGGTCCACAAAAATGTGCATTCAGAACAAGGATTCAAGAGATTATGTACACAGGGTCCCAGTTACATCCAGAATCAGAATAAACTTTATTGGAATTGCACCAAGGTACAACGCGAATATGTACGTACAGTCGTCCGAAAGATGGCGGAGTGCACGAAACTGCAACTGTAGAAAGCGCGGCCATTTTTTCCTTATCAGATAATAATCTTAGATAGGAAAAGGGGGCGAAACATGAGGGTAGATAGTGGTATTACAAAAAAGATCTTTCACATCTTGTCCATCAGGACACGATTTGAGACATCAAAAAAACTCTACCAGCAGCTCAATTAAAACATGATTACATTTGCATTTGACATCAAGGTGTTGAGATTTGTCCATGGGCGTTTTTTCAGATCAGCCACAGTTTCTGAAGATGTTGTTTCAGTGGACAGTTCTGATAAGCTTGCACAGAGAGTTCTCCGGGGGTGGGGGGGGGGGGGGTGCGATAGATGAAGATTTTGTCCTTGGGTACTCATGTCCCAGGAGAAATTTGATAGTCAGCCTGTCTCCGAGGCTGTTGGGAGTCAGATTAGATAAGCTTGATTTTTGTTTTTTCTTCAGGCAGACAGATTTTTTCTTCAGCCTTGAGTCCATCTGGGCGTTCTGGTTCCGAAAATGCCTAATTGTGTGATTCCATTCCACTGATCCATGCTATGAGTCTCCTTCAAGGTCGAACCCACCACGCTGACGAGTCCCAGAAGCCGCAGGTGGTCTGCGATTCTCAATTGCCTCCACCTTACAGTTAAGCTCGTAAACCAGACGATTTAAAGTTCCCACAGCGAGGACCAGACCTTCACACTGACTCGGAAGCTTTTCCATGGCCGAAACTGCTGCCGTCTTCTTCAAAAGTCGATAAAACAGAGCCCTGCCGATGCCAAAAAGCAGAGTCCCTGCTATCATAATTCCAAATACATAAACATCTTCAACATCCTCCTGAGACAGGACTGAGAGACACATCATCTGCCACACTCCCCACGAATCCATGACGTACCCCACACCGTGAGTCTCAGCTGGACACGCCGGTTCTCCAGGACCTTGTCGCTTTGATGAAAAAAATCTTGTCAATAGAGTTGAACACCCACGATACCAAATTCTTAATCTTCTTAATTTATGTTCGGGAGATGAGACCCAGGCACTTCTGACAGACAGAGAGCAGAGCAGGAGGAAGGAAAAATGGGGGAGGAAAAAACAGAAGCTGCCACCTCGATGAGAGCCTGGGAGGAAAAAAATAACATACCATACCAATTTATTTATATAGCACTTTAAACAGTGACAAAGCACACCAAAGTGCTGTACAGGGACAAACAGAACAAGCACACAGCAACAGATTACATAACAGGACACCAAAAAGTAGAAACCAACAAAAACAATAATGGATAACAACAACAACCGCAACATGACCAACACAGTGTGACGCACACAGACTCAGCACAGATCACACAGTGCAGAAAGCCAGGGAATAGAAGTGTGTTTTTAAGCGAGATTTAAAAACTGTGAGGGAGGGGGCCTGTCTAACCAGCAGAGGTAACTCATTCCAAAGTCTTGGTCCTGCTACAGAGAAGGCCCTGTCACCTCTGCGCTTGAGATGGGTTCCTGGGACTGTTAGGAGCAACTGGTCTGCTGATCTGAGAGAACGTGGTGGGACATACGGCTGGAGCAGATCAGTAAGATAGGAGGGGGCAGAGCTGTTTAGTGATTTATAGACATACAAGAGTATTTTGAATTTGATTCCAAGGTGAACCGGAAGCCAGTGTAGTGAGGCCAAAACAGGAGTAATGTGCTCTCTTTTGCTTGTGCTGGTCAAAAACCGGGCTGCTGCATTTTGGACCAGTTGGAGTCTAGCTATGGAGGTCTGACTGATACCAAAAAGGAGTGAGTTGCAATAGTCGAGCCTGGATGTAATGAATGCATGAATTACTGTCTCCGGGTTATTTTTGGACAATATGGGCTTCAGCTTAGACAGTCGCCTCAGCTGGAAAAAGCAGGATTTAACAATCATATTTACATGATTGTTGAGTTTCAGAGAAGGGTCAAGTATCACTCCTAGATTAGTGACTCTTTGTTTCACTAACGGTGACAGAATGGATAGGTCGATGCAGTGGTTGGTGATTGTGTCATTGGGAGGAAACAGCATAACTTCAGATTTCTTCTCGTTGAAACTCAAGAAATTTAAAGCCTTCCAATCTCTGATGTCAGCCAGGCAGTCCAGTAACGGTTGAATAGAGCGAGTACCGTTGAGTCTGAGGGGGAAGTAGATTTGGCAGTCGTCGGTGTAGAAATGAAAAGGTATGTTATGTTTCCTGAAAATAGCACCTAGTGGCAGCAGGTATAAAGAAAATAAGAGAGGACCCAGGATAGACCCTTGCGGTACCCCCCATTTAAGCGCTGCCGAGGCTGAACTAAAATCTTTGATGGAGACACAAAAGGACCTGTCAGCGAGGTAAGATCTAAACCATTCGAGGGCTGACCCAGTGATGCCCACCCACTGCTCTAACCTCGCAATGAGGATCTCGTGGTCGATTGTATCAAAGGCAGATGTGAGGTCCAGTAAGAGAAGGAGCACAGAATCACCAGCGTCTGTGAATAGGAGAATGTCGTTAAAAACCTTGAGAAGAGCAGTTTCAGTGCTGTGGAGAGGTTTAAAGCCAGACTGGAATAGCTCTAAGATGGCATTATCCTCTAGAAAGCATTTCAGCTGGGACTCCACTATTTTTTCCAGCAGTTTAGCGACAAATGGGAGTCTGGAGACAGGCCGGAAGTTGGACATGACTGAGGGGTCAAGGCTAGGTTTTTTCAGGAGAGGTTGGACAGCAGCATGTTTAAAAGTTATTGGCACCACACCTGAGGCTAAGCTGCTGTTCACAATACCAAGAACAGGAGGGCCCAGAACAGGAAGAAGCTCCTTCAGGAGTCGAGGGGGGACGACGTCAAAAGGGGAGCCAGATGGCTTCATGCCGCACATGACCTGCTCCAGAGAAGACAGAGAGATGGGCTCGAAGTGGTCCAGAACAGCAACACAATGAGATGGGATGGACGGATCATGAGCAGGTGGAGAAATGAGTGCCCGGGTGTTTGCAACTTTTTCAGAAAAGAAATGGAGGAAGTTTTCACACAGCTCAGTTGAGGCTTCTAGAGGTGAAGGTTCACTGAGGTGTAGAACTGAGTTCAGGGTGGAAAAAAGGGCTCGGGGGTTGTGGGAGTTTGAGGCAATTATTGCAGAAAAGAACTTCGATTTGGCGGCTTTAACTGCCTTCTGATAATGACGCCAACTCTCCTTTAGGATTTGAAAAGAAACCTGCAGCCTGTCTTTCCTCCACCTGCGTTCAGCTCTCCTACACTGCTGTCTAACGGCTTGAGTGACGTCATTAAGCCATGGTTCTGATAAAAGTTTTGTTTTCCTGGTTTTAAGGGGAGCAACATGGTCCAGAATATTTAAGAAAACGGAGTTAAGCTGAGAGGTTAGCTCCTCGGTGGAGAGAGACACTGAGAGCTGATCGATCCTCTCAGAGCTAAAAGCTTCAGTAAAACGTGCAGCAGTGAAACGGTTAATGGCGCGTGAAGTACGTGCAGAATCACATGACTTAGCAGTAGGACAAGGCGGGATCAAACAAGACAGGCATGTGGTCTGAGAGAACGTTGTCACCGATTACCAGATTACAAACAGAGACATCGCGTGTTAAAATGAGATCCAGAGTGTGACCGTGTTGTTGGGTGGGAGCATTTACATGTTGAGTTAAATTAATAACAAAACAACAAACAACAATAAAATGTAAAAGAAAAACAGTAATAACATCCAAGATATGAACTAAGAATCAGAATAAGCTTTATTATCATTGGACCGAGATATGAGAATATGTCCGTACAGTCATCCAAAAGATGGACGGAGTGCACAAAGCTGCTGCTATATAGTGCGGCCTTCTTATCCTTTTCAGAATACATTTTTACATAAAAAAAGGGACAAAGCCATGAGGAGAGGATAGTGGCATTAGAAAAAAGATCTCTTCACACCTCGTCCTAACATGACATGATTTAAAACATCAAAAACTCTGCCAGCAGCACATTTATGAACACGTTACATAACGAGGCGTTCCATGAAGCACTAACCGATAGTCCATTGTCCTGATAAGATGACGGTCAGCCAGCACGGTTCTGATAAACCTCCACGGGTGGGCGGTGTGTGTGTGTGTGTGTGGGGGGGGGGGGCGGTG